TTCATTTAATTAATGCGCTAAAATTAACACTAATTAGTAACGTGGGTTTCATTTTCTTTTAGATGTTGCTGAGAATTCTGACCAGGATATGTGGCACACCTACCAACTTGTGGATCCTGATGGTGGGAATCCAAACAACCATATTCTTCTTCCACCTTCAAAACACAGACCCAGTAGAGTTATGCTTGAATTATTTTGCATCTTTTCAGTGAGATTTAACCCTTTTTCATCTCTTTTCCCCATTTTATAGATGATGCTCGCTCTGTAGATCTAATCCAGTTTAAGGAGCAATTCAAATCCCATTTCCGTGAAGTCCAAAGAAACGTAAGCTTAATAACAATTTGCATTTGGGTTTTTACACATTATGAAACATTAATGATTTCTTTTGCATTCGATCAAAGGTGTTTGTTAAAATTAGGAAGCACACAGATGAAGCTGTTTGGATCCGGATCGCCTGGGGAGAAGGCTTATCTCCACCAAACAATCTGAGAGCCTCATATGTTGTCCATCATCTTCAGACTCCTTATGTTTATGTGAGCAGTCTGTCGTCAAAGCATAAGCCTCTGCTATTGCAGGTAAGAGAAAAAAAATCTATGTTTAAGTATTTGTTATATTTGTATTTTGTGTGTGTGTGTCTGTGTTGCATGTTTCTACCTTCTAAGATTGGCTTTTGCTGCAGGCCTTGGCTTTTTCCACGAGACATAGAGGAATTAAGGATGCTAACCTAAGTGGACGGAAACTGACTGCCCTCAGGGACCTGCTGATGAGGCAATACCAGCATGTAAGTCACCCTCCTGTACCAAAATACTCCACTAGCCACCAATGTCATTTTATTCCAGTGTTTTACTGTTTGAAGGTAAATTGAATTGTTTTTTCTCTTTCAAATTTACAATTCTCTTAAAGATATAACTGACTGAACCTTTTCTTTTTTTTTTGCTCAGGTGTTTACAACAAAGTTCCCCAGCCCTCTCAAAGAGCAGAATCAAAGCCCCTTAAGTATGCTCAGTAGAATTATCTGATCTATTTATGTTGGGTATCCTGTTTTCTTTAACATCATTTGGTTTTTGTGCTTGACTCTCTGCCAGTTGAAAAAGAGCAATCTGGGCCATCAGCAAAAAGACATCGAATGGCAATAGAAGCCTTCGGTGAAGGGGCGTTACCTGCAATACAGACTGCAGTCTATAAGGTAAACTACTCACTTATTGAATACAAGTGATTTAGGTTATGGTTCAACACATAGTTTTCAACAGAATTGCGTCTCTTTAATATTTGTATATTTTCTTTAAGCTGGAAACCAAATTCAAAGACCCCACTAATGAAACCATGACTGAACGGGATGAGCCATTTAGATGTGCTGTTAAATTTTCGAGCACCAACCTCCTGGAGTCACTCAGATCCTGTGCATCCTCAGGTACTAAAAAAACATTTGCCACAGACGTAAAGGAAATGGTACATTCGAAAGCACAGGATTTTATATATGCATTTTATAATGAACCTTTCTCAACAATTGCAGTTCTCTAAGTGTCCACACGAGGGCACACTTGATGTAGAAATCACCATCATTACTCCAACAAAATTAGCAATTTCCTTTCACTCCTGCTGGGCTGCATACTCAGATCATTTTTAGAAACTGAGTTTATTTTTAAAAAAAAAAGAGGTTCTGTTTTGCAATTTTCCCGTTTTGGCTTATTCCTACTGTTCTTTTTTTTCACTTTGCAGGAATTGCCTCAACCCCCCTCACTCCCTTGCTGTCATCTATTCCCCTTAAAGGAAGGAATTATTTTGTCATCACAGATAATGCTCCCAGCGCCTGCTCACAAATGTCCCAGACGAAGAACTGATTTACAGTTTGGCCCCTCACTCTAACCTTTGTTCAGTCCTGTTCCGTCAAACTGACTTGCAGATAACAGCTTATCCATAGCAAAGGTTTAAGGTAAACATCACCATTTGATATATCTCTTTTTCAAAACATCAATGGAATCTGTGTTATTAAAGCCAGTGTCTAACTTGTTCCTCTATGTGAGCCAAGGATTAAAGAGTGGACGATTAGTTATGGTTCCATAGAAATTTTGTTTTCTTTTTGTAAAATAATTGTACAATTATTGTCTTAAACCTTTAAATAAAGTTTAATTTTATTTTACCTTGTGGTTACTTTATCCCTAACACTGCAGTAAGTTGTTTTAGATACAATTTTACATTTATTTGTGTTTAGGTCTAATTAAAAGGGACAGTTAACCCTTCAAAGCCCGATCCAAGGATAAAACAAAACAGAAAATTACTTTTTTTGGTTTGAAGTACTTATTTGGCCTTTTAACAAAATATGTAAAAAGAAAAAACAGAAATACATTTTTTATATTAATAATTTATTACTATGCGATAAGTCAAGATTGTTTGTGTGGTCTTCTGCCCTCTGTTATCAGGTATATCTGATTGTGTACAATAGGATTTTGAGCAAAGTTTTTACCATTAAATTATGCAAAAGGTGTCAGACGCAAAACATTTCAGAAACGGTATGTATCAAATATGATACATTTGGCATTACAGGGTTAAGAGAAGAAAAAAAATTCTGCTTCTGGCTAGTATTGCAACAATATTAGCCTGCAAACATATAAATACATCTTAAGAAAAGGATTCTGTATTAGTTAAAAATTGTATATTGATCTTCATTAACTTAAATTTCCACAAAAAATGTATAATTCAAATGAAGACAATGCTTATAATTCATGCAAATTGTAATTGTTTCAGTCACTTCCTTTGTGAAGGTGAACGGCACTAGATAAAGCTTAATGTTACAGCAGTTGCATGTAAGCTTGTTCATATAAACTGCTGAACTTTATTTGGCTGAAAAAAATAAATCGTTCGGATTATGAAAGTTACGTTTTGTTTTTGTAATCATGCAAAAAAAAAGCAGTGCATAGAAAAGTATCTAAAGGAAGAAAAAAGATAAATCAACTGCATAAGCTAATGCACTGTTTTGTATTTTGTTTTTAATAAAAAAAAAATGTTATTATAAAAAGAAGCTCATGCACTGTTGAATTTCAAAAGGGGTTGCTTTGAACAAAGGTTTCCTTTCTAAAAATTATATTTCCTTTTTTTTTAATATATATTTTTTTCCTCTGTTTAAGACCGAACATAACGGAAGTTGTGTCGTCTCGGACGTGACGTACTCCAACGTCACTACGGAAGTAAGCTGATTGGTGAAGATGCCTTTCAGTCAATGCCGCGGGTTAGTTTTCCCCACGTTACGCTCCCTTTCAGTCCAAGCGGAGGGACCCTATGCCCCTGTTCATTCAATACGCCTGGTTTAGGGTGGGGAGGGGGCTGTCAACATAGAAACATGGCCGCCTCTACAACGGCTAAGGCAAAAGGCAGGCAGAACTCGAAGTCAGGCGATGTGAAACGCTGTGAGGAGTCAATGTCGCAATGTCGGGAGATAATAAAGCCCACCATTATCGAGCTGACCAAAGAAGTTCGGACGAACATCCTCTGCACCGTAGAAGGATGTGGCAAGATCCTCCCCAACACACCTGCATTAAACATGCATCTGGTAAAGTCGCACCGAATAAAGGTAAGTAAAGGTAAACCTGCTAACTCGGCTGGTTTTAACATGGAAGTACAGCCCATGCTAATTTGGCTAAGTAGTGATGAAGAACGCCCTAAAATTAGAAAACGCAAGTCATCCAATTAGCAAACACAGAAGATAACCCACAGGGTGTGCAATATTTGATCAGTTTCATAAAGAAATGTTTATTCATATGTTTTTTTTTTCAGGTGGGTTTATACTAGCTACATGTGGTGGGTTGTGGTCTTTCTAGGCAATAATAAAGAAGATTCCTATATTAACTCCTAAACTACAGATCTAGGTTATATGAGCCTGTTTGGTGCCATCTGTACTATTTTAAAAGTGATTCTATATCATAATGATCTATATCTTCGCCCAGTAACACTCCTGCTTTGTTGCTTGAGGTGTTTGTTTATTTAAAGCCCTCAATATGCTCAGTGTGATATCCTTCTTATTCTGTCATCTGTTTGCTTTTATGAAAAAATGAGGCAATCTTTCATCTGTGTGCTGAAGCTAAATTGAGATTTTGTTACATTATGCATTTTTTTAGTTGGGAGGTTTCAAATATTTATCAGTCATGTGGGAGCTGGTTTACTCCAATCTATGGCTGATTAAAATACTAATATTGAGGTTTTTATTTGATAACGATAACATCATATTGTGTAACAACGGTGATCATGGCCCTTTGCTCTCCCAACCAACATGGCTGTCTGCTACTGCACAAAGATCTATTTAAGACATGGATGCATTTGTTGTGGATGAGCTGCACTGACCTGCTCAGACTCCTGACCTTAACCCAGATGAACACTTTTGGGATTGATTCAAAGCCAGACTGAGAGCCATGCCTTCTTGTCCAGTGTTGGTCTGTGACATCACGACTGTGCTTGGGGAGTAATGGATAAATTATCCCATCAACATTAAATCATGTGGACAGACTCCCTAGAAGTATTGAAGCTGCTGCAGCTTCGAAGCTTAGTTTAAAGTCACACAGAAGAACCCTAATGGGATGTCACTTAGGTTCAAATGTAAGTCAGGGAAGGAGAGCAAATACTTTATGGGAATAAGATGTTTTCTCTCAACCAGGAAATGTGTCATTTGCAGCCAGAAATGAACAGATCTTCCAAATTTCAAGTAGGACAATGTAGTATTGTGAGGGTATAATGTTAGTGGGGGGAAAAAGAATTGTATTCTTCCTTTTTTATAGTAACATAAATACAATTTGAGGAATTATTTATATCCTTCTGGTGCTGCAACTAACAATTTTTCATATCTGTCGATTATTTTTAGGTTCTTTAAAGAAGATTTTGTTAATGAAATTAAACCAAGTGAAACTAAAACTTTTCCACTTCAGGACTTCTGGATAGATTATACACTGCAAAAACAATCTAGAAATAAATTAAAAAAAAATTAAATCAAGTGTATTTACTCTTAATTTGAGTAGGTAAATAAGATGATTTGCCAATGGAATTAGATTTTTTTAATCTTAAAATAAGATAATTAGATCATAAGTACTTGAAATGAGACAATACAATAGTTTTTTCTTATTTTAAATGTAAATTGTCTTGCTCCATTGACAAAGTGTGCTATTTAAGTCCTCAATTCAAGAAAAAATGCACTTTTAAAAAAAAAAAAAAACAGTGTATTGACAGAAGAAAGTTGTTTTTTTTTATCTTAAATGCAAAATTTTTATATTTTGACAATATTTGTATAGTTAGTAGTCTAAGTGGATTGCTTTGTCAGCTAAAGGTATGTTTTAGAGTCTCTATACTTGAGTTAATGATTAATTGATTAAATTATCCATCCATCCGTTTTCCATCACACTTATCCCTGCTGGTGTCTTATCTCCAGCTGTCTATGGGCGATTTATTTCACCTGTGTTGTCCATCGCAGGACAATACAGAGACAAATTACCATTCACACACACACTCACAGCTAAGGAGAATGTAGAGAATCCAATTAACCTAACAGTCATGTTTTTTGGACTGTGGAAGGAAGCCTGAGTACCTGGAGAGAACCAACGCATGCTCAGGGAGAACATGCAAGCTCCATGTAGAAAGACACTGGGCCAGGAATCGAACCTAAGGAGCATTGCTACCCACTGCCTCACTGTGCAGCCCCGATGACTAAATGAGTTGATGATTATTTAAATTATCGATTAATCCGATTGTTTCAGCCCCGTACCCTTCTCCATTATCAACAGATAAAGATGTTTTTTTGCCCCAACATTCAAATAGAACAGAAGTTTTTCACATGTCTCAACAATCTATGTTAAAGAACAGAATACAAAGATGCATAATCTACCTTTTTCTTTTTTGGAAGGATTAGTTTTTACAGAGCCTAACTAACGTCCGGTAAACATTTTTTAAGGTTTATCTTTTATAAATGGGTAAATTTAAGTTAAATCCGAGACAGTTGCAGCTTTTGGCCTGCAGTCAGGCTGTTTCCCCTGTCCTTGCTGAATCGGACCTTCCTGTAGCAGGCTGTAAATTCACTGTCACCCCCTCCATGAATGAGCTTCTCCTTTGGCTATGGCTGCCTTTTGTCCCACAACAGACTAAGCTCTGTGTCTAAAACAGGTGAATCAGAGAATTTGAATGAGCTGTTAGTCGTGGATGCATGCAGGCTGAGGAAGTTTTAAAGAACCAGTAAACTCCCTGGATTTGGAATAAAGGGTTTAAGCCCTATATATACAAGTGACCGTGAACATCACAGTGTTTATAGCTTGGGTAAAAAACATCAGCTCAACTTTATTTAGGCAATGCTCTGTTCCTGTTTATCATAATCCTTTTACTTAGCCTCACTTTCCGTAATATATCTACAATGCCGCTCTAAGCAGAAAATAACTGACATTTGATTCGAGTGGAGTGAGAAGATCAATTCTCTGCTTTATATATATATATATATATATATATACATAGATATATCTATAGATAGATATATAGATACTGCAGGTTCTCAGTCTGCACTTCTTTTTTCTTACAATTAATGATTTGATGCTCCAGGACTGAATCATGATGTTAGACACTACATTGCTGTATTTTAAGAATGTTTTAACTCCCCTAGAATTCACTTCATTACTGTAGCACTAACTTATTCTTCTGTTGCTCATTGTTAAGTTTTTGAAGTGAACTCTGATTGCAGAATGGACATATTTTATTTCTGATTGTCTAAAATCTGATTATAGTATCTTTTCCTGGGCCTAAAGATACTGCTTTGATTTGACCTGACTCTGATAACCTAAATAGCCTCAAGCTGCAGTAGATTTTCACTGCCTCAGTTTCTCATTGGAAACAAAGGATCTCTGTTACATTTTGTTGTTGTTGTTGATGAGCTCTATAGAAAAGACAATAAATCTGGGCCTAGTGATGTAGCCGCATGCTGATGGTCGATAATTTAACATTTAGTGAAACAAACTGTTTGTCTTATGGTTGTCTTGCTTGCTTCCTTCTCCCTGATTAAGCAGAGGATCCTTTAATAATTATCCTTGTGACGGCTGTGTTGTCTGTTTCCAGTGGGTTATATTTACTCAGTGGAAAAGCTGGTTCCTAATGATATGAATTGGTTCA